CTAAGTGAAAGGAAAACAATTAGAAAAATTTGTCAAGCTATTAATCCAAAAGGTTCTGCTTTAATTTTTTTTCCATGACGAAAGGGGAGAACTATTTGAATGTAGGCAGTTTCCAATTTTATAAATATATGCAAATAAAACACAATGATAATTTTTGCAATTTTAAAATCTTGAACTAACTTTTCTGCTTAGCAAACTCCACAGTATTTCCCCAGTTGAATTGCTAGTGTATACTTAGGGAATTCAGTAATAGAAAGTCTTGAAAAATAAATGTTATTAAGAAGACAGATCTGCTTGACCGTGATTACATACTGTATTCCAAAGTTAAATATAAATGACTTTGGATTGTCTGTGTCCTATTCCTTTCCCATTAGCCTAAAGAACGTCTTTAATATCTGCAATTCCATGTGGCTTATCATTTATGCAGGATTTTAAAAAATATATATTATGAATTTGCCTATTATGATTAGTATAAAATTACTATAATTTGAAACTAGATAATTGTTAAACCAGTAAAATTTGAAATTGTCATCAGCCTGATTATATGTTAAGTTTGACATGTTTTCATTTGTCATTATTTTAAATGGCAGCAATTGAAGTTTATGCATACTCCACATCAGTTCCTTCTTCTCAGCAGTCCACCAGCCAAAGAATCCAATTTTAGAGCTGCTAAAAAACTCTTTGGAAGCACCTTCGCATTTCAGTGAGTTAATCGCGCTTCACGTTAATGGGGGTATGCTCCACCAGTTTTCCAGACATGCGTGGGAAAGAAAGCATTCTTTGTTAGTAGTTGGTCATTTATGTTCAATAGTCAGCTATATAATCCCTGACTTGGAAACTCTGAACTTACAGAAGGCATCATGACTTATTACAGTGACCACTTTTAAAGATCATTGAATTTCTGGTTTTGCTTTTTCCTTCTCCTCTGTTTCTATAGTGGCTCTCACATTGAAAACTGGCACTCTATCCTGAGGAATGGGCTGGTTGTTGCTTCTAATACACGATTGCAGGTAAATTTCCTGAATGCTTTAACAAGACCTCATTATTCTTCAGTATTGAGGTTCGGTGAGCAATCCTGGTGTTATGTCTTTACTTGCAAAAGGGGAAGCATGTGCGCTTTAAACATTATATGGAGCTTCTAATAAGCACAAGTACATTTTCACAAAGGAACTGAAGCAAAATTGATCTATACACAATGAAAAAAAAAAGAAAGTTGGGTTTTCTAAGAGAAAACAGTAAAAATCACACTTTGACTTAAGTGGAAGAAAATTATTGTGCACAAAGTAAAACCATACAGGCATTCTGTTCCTTAATCCAACATACATTTCTTTAGTGCTGGACCTCACTGTGAATACTTTCAGAGAACAAAATGTAAGAATAAGCAAAGTGGAGATTTGGATACCAAAGAGCCATCTGACACCTGCTTTTCAGCCTACATGACAGTACTTGGAATTATCAGGACATGTGGGTGTTGTCCTCATCTTTATTTATGCCTTTCATCTTGCACATTCCACTTCACTCTCATGCAGCTGAATTTTTCATCTGACAACATAAGGACATCAGGAAACGAGATGCTCAACCCAATCACCTGAGCTAAATCTCACGATACGATAGCATTTGAGGTGATTCAATTAAATACAAATGTCCGTAAATGAGCATTTATTGGATTAGTATTCAGTTCATGCTAATAGGGTGTGAAGGCTCTAGAGCCTAGAGATAATAAGAAAGAATTTTAATTGCTCTAAATAGTTTCTTAGAACTGTTGAAGAGTTTCAGTTAATGAAACTCCTGTAACTTGAATAATTTAGAGGAAGATAAGAATGGATGACAGATAATGTTATATAATGAAAATCTGAATAGGACACTTTGTTTATATACTAACATGTGAGTCTTAGTCAAAATGCCTTGCCGTGTATTTCAACCTCGATTTTGTTTGTAGAATTTTAGATTCATTAAAATAAAAGCTTACTAAGTACTAAGTACTATGTAGTACTTAATGATAAGTGACTCTCTTTATCACTGTAGAGTGGAAAACATTTAGCAAGGATCTTTTTCCTCTAGCTATCATTTTTCATATATGAACTCATTGTGAATTTTAAGCACAAGGATATTAGTACTATTTCAAATTAGACCTTGGAACAGGAGCTCTATCATTTTTCTAAAACTTAATATTCCAACATGAAACTGATTGCCTGCTTTTGTCAAATATTAACATTTAAAACATGGGCTGACCCCTCCTTCTCTCACCTCTTCCCATGTTAGCTCCACGGTGCGATGTATGGAAGTGGAATCTATCTTAGTCCAATGTCAAGCATATCATTTGGCTACTCAGGTAATTCTGTATTTCATTTCTAACTTAAAATTTATTAGGTTTTTTTATTATTATTGTATACTCTAGGCACAGTTTTCTAGTGAATGTCTAAAGCTTATTAGATATATTTGTATTAAATTCATTTGATAAATACCAGAAGCAAAAACAAAGCTCAAATGTCGGGATGAATTTATAATACTTCCCTAATGGAATATACATTTTGTCAATTTAAAAAAATTTATTCTTTTTTATTTTTATATTTCTACATTTATTCCTTCCACAAATAAACATTGGGAATATAGTATGTGCAAAGCAACATGTAAGGCACAGAGAAGTACACATGCATATTATCATTAAGTGTAATTCTATATCATACCAACTTCTTGTCTTTGGATTATGATATTATTCATAAAGAAGTTTTGAACATTATGAAAAAGTTAGAAGTAGAAAAACACTCTCAAAATCACCCTTACTTATTGACATCTTCTTGTTAGTATTTTGGTGAGATCGTGGGAAAAGAATATTTTGTAATAAATTGAGAGCATATGCTGAGGGGGAGAGCCTGGTGGGTTCAAAATGTGGAAAGAAAGATCTTCAGATTGTTAACATTAGTTATCTTTGGGCGGGGGAATTTGTGAAGATTCCTTCTTTGCACCTTTTAAATTTGGAATATTTTACAATGATCAGTATGATTTATATAACACTTAACCTATTCTGTTTAAATATAATTATGTTCATTATAAAGAGATTCAAGCTACACAGAATTTTAAAATTAGCAAATGAATTTTTTTCTCTCTTTTCCTGTTTCAGTATTCAGTGTATTTTCCTTCACCCTTAGTGCTTTTATATCCATACAGCTTCATAAGTAGTTGGTTTTGCTTGTGTGCTCCTGTGTGTGTGTGTGTGTGTGTGTGTGTGTGTGTGTGTGTGTGATTATATAGTCACATTACACAATTTCAGGAGATGTCATTCACATAGTCCCTGGATGGCAAGTCTTAATATCCCCGGGTTTCAGAAAAGGATAGAGAGATCTAATAACTAGGTGAACATTAACCAGGCCTACCTGTCTAATATGTTTACCAAAGTTCATGTTCTTATAGCTGCAGCAAGTTGTTTCTCAGCAATAGGGGAGTAAAACACTTAACACTAGATTGATAATTAGAAATTCTAAAAGAAAACAGCAACGATTTTTTAAAAAGTACAATAAAATGGTGATGGAAAGAAAACTTTTAAAAATTAGAAGGTTGCAAGGTAACAAAAAAGGAAACTGGAATAAAAAATATATAATGAAAAATTAAAAGATAAAGATAATTATTCTAATCACTATTGCTGTGTAACAAACCACCCTAAACTTAGGGTAAAACAACAACTTCATTATGCTCATAGATTCTTTGGGTCAGAAATCTTGGGTACAACCTGGCTAGGTGATTCTTTTGCTTCTTGAAGTATCCACTGAGTGGTACGTGGTTGGTGGATGGGCTGCACTGGCTGGTCTAAGAGAGCCTGACTCACAGGTTCTTTGCCTTGGCGGGAAGGAGCTGGAACTGTCACCCCAAGCTCCAATATGTGGCCTGCCCAATGTGGTGCACCCAGGGTAGTTGGATTTCTTACCTGAGTTTCTCCAGAGTGTGCTAAGAGCATCAGATGGACTTTGTGTGGCTTTTTCTGACCCAGGTTCTGAAGTCGCATGGTGTCAATTCCTACATACACTACTGGTCAAAGCAGTCACGAGCTCGTCCATATTCAAGAGCTGGGGAATTAGACTCTATCTCTTGATGAAAAAATGGCAAGTCTCATTGTAGCAGAGCATATAGGTTGATAAATATTGTTGCAGTGATCTTTAAAAATATGATATGCTAAAATAACACTAAGAAAATAAATACCAGGAAGTATAAAATAATAGAAACAGGAAATGGAATAACATAGTTCAAAGGAGAAAACAATTAAAATCAGACTCTAAATCTTATTAATACAGAACAAAGTAACAAACTAAAAAGCAGTTTAAATAAATAAATACATCCTCGGCATAGATAAGAAAAAGAATAACAAATCATCAAGTACTGTGATTTTCTACTTCTCGTGCTGGTGTATAGACTCCTTAGATGGTTCATGGAAAGGATCGAGGGAAGGTACAAACTATGAATGGATGGAAAATTCTATCTGTGTGCTTTTGTCTGGGGAGAGGGTCCATAGCTTTCATCGAATTCTTGAAGGGCTGTCAGAATCACTGCAGTAAGAAGTAGCTCCTATAGTGGTTTTGAGGGCTGAAAGTGTGGGGTGTTAGAGAGTGGAGAGCGGCCCCACTTCATATGGGAACTGCAGGTCTGAGGTCCCAGGCCTGCTCCACGACCTGGCAGCATCCGCCTCTGCACGTTCTGGGGGAGGCCTGACTCGGAAAGGGGTGGATAAACATACCCTGCAAATTGGGAAACAGGCTTTGCCCCTTCTCATCAGTCCATTTATAGAAATAACAACACAAATCAACAGGGATCTCAACTTTTGGTGTGATAATAGATGAGTACTTTCTAATAGAGTATAGATACAAATCTATCTATTCTGAGACAGATGTATATTTTAGTTCTGTTTTTCTAAAATCTTTCACAATAAGAAATCATGGCATTTACAGAGTAAGCCAAGGCTTATGAATATCACAGACAAAAGAACTTCTATAATTTTTCTTCATTAGAAGAAATGATAAATTCTACGCAGAACTGAGTCTATGTTAATAATTCATGAAGTTAAGTTACAATGTAAATATTTAATAGATTTTTCTGACATTGTTCATATTTCCCACCCTTTATCTTCTCTTTCGCCTAACCAAATATAATAAGAAGAATGAAAATTAGGTTCCCAAAGCCTTTTAAAACCAAGTTTTAAGAATTTTCTAATTATATTAATTTTATGCAAAAGAAGTTCCTATTCCTGCTTTCAATGCAAAGAACAACAGACTGAGATTTCTACTTGCTAAGTCACCTAGGACTTTCAAAACCTGCTTCCTTCCACCTCGAGTGTCCAGGGTACAGCCCATTGTGACTGACTCTGGCCTAATACAGTCAAATCTTTGCCTACAATGAAGCTTTGCACAGTAGATAGATTGTGCTTTGAGCTGCATCAGACAGGTTTGTCCCTAAATTATTATTTTGCTGATGTTTTCAGGGATGAACAAGAAGCAGAAGGTGTCAGCCAAGGACGAGCCAGCTTCAAGCAGTAAAAGCAGCAATTCATCACAGGTGGTGTAGCAACTTGAGTGACTGCTTATGATTAGCCAACTGCAGCCTCATTAGCTAGCAGGACTTCAATACATATTCAGGCTTTTTAAGTCTGCAGAGTTATTTTAAGTAGTCATTACTCATAAATGAATAAAACTCACCCTAAAATGTAATACCTGAATTGCCTCTATTTAGGAATCATTCAACAGATATTTCTTTATCTCCCACTACAACACCAGAGACTCTCCTAGACTTTGGGGTACAGTGATAACCAAAAATACACATATTCCAGTCTTGTTGGAGCCTACATTCTACTGAGGGGATAGAAACAAGTTAAACGTATTTAGATAGGATGCTAGATGATGGTAGGTGTTATGGAGAAAAATAAATAAGGGAAAAGGGATGTTTAATCCTAGAGGATGGAAGAGGAGACTGGGAGGAGTGTTAAGTGGGATTGTCAGGAAGGGATGCTCTGAGAAGGTGACATTTGGGTAAAGACCTATATATGATGAGTGCACAAGCCATGTGGCCCTCTGGGAGAAAGAACATTCTAGGCTGAGAGAAGAATGACCACAGATCCCATGTTATTTCAGAGAAAACAGGTATGTTCTGGGCAAATTAAAAATCCATCTGATGAATAATGTGACTTTAAGTTTAAAAAAAGAAAGTATAGCTAATCTAGTATCTGAAAACAAAAACACCCTAAAATCAGATTTTCTACATGAGATCTTTCTGAACCATCTGTAGCTTAGTAAATGATGTTTGAAATGGGTTGGTTTTGGATAGTTAGATGATCTGGAATAATTGATTTTTAATGTTTGAAAAGATCATGCAAATATAATTTTGTTTACCTTGAAATAAAGAGGCCAGGCTTCCACTAAAAATAAATTTGAGTTCTAATTCTGTGTTGTAAGACTACTGATCTCTAATTTAGCATTTTTTTAGTTCACTCATCTTGAGAGTAATTTAGTAATGATTATGTACGTATATTAAATGATACCATAAAAATAGCTTGATATTAAGAGAGTGCCTACATATTGATGCTAGGCTCATTAGGCTGTGTTTTTCCTGGAGCCATCTTAGTGACTATTATTTTTTGATGATGAACAATTTTTGTACCAGAGTGTCCCATTTTTACTCTAAGTTTTACATTCTTTTGGAATTTAGTCACAGAAAAAAGGACAGCAATCCCAATTTCTGCAAAGCCGTAATTTAAAATGCATAGCCTTATGTGAAGGTAAGTTGAAAGTTTTACAAACTTCATAGTATTAGTTCTCTTTCTTACCTGTGTTTAAGAATACAAGTGTATTTACAGATTGCTTATGGTGGAATAGTGAAAGATTATTGCTTATAGTTATCTTGAAGGGCACAAATGGAAAGTAGGCACAATAGAGATCATAAAGGTTAAAACCAAATTGCAGAGTTGGCGAGAATTCAAATAGTGGTATTGTTTTATTCCTGGTAGGTATTTCAGAATGGTGATTATATCCTTCTGATCAAGTAATGTTTATCTCTTTCACTAATGTGCTACTTTCTTCTTTAAGTTGGTATTTGAATATGTAATACCATTTGAGTATATAATACCAAAAAGATGAACCGGGCATTGAGAAAACAGCCCATTAGGTCTTTCTGTTCCTACACTGAAATTATTCTTCCATTCTGAACATAGATCAGAAAAATTGATAGATGATTTGCAAGATCATATGCTTTTCTTTGTTCTTGCTTTAAAGCTTGTTTTTGGCTAAAAATCCACCTTTTCTTCTTGTGTTAGGAGTTTCAGTAGCCATTGTCAACTGTCTTAAGTTTTCAACACTTGATAGTTATATAGGACACTAAGTTGCTGTCTACATCATTCCCAAGTCAGGACCCCATCAGCTTTTGATAATACTCGAGTGATATCCTTCCTATTGTTACACCAATTTTTATTCAAAACATAAAGTTGTTACATGGCTTTTCATTGTTTTTATTTACATTTCTTGAGAGTTAATAATGCTAAACATTTTTCATATGTTCATTCGTGCGTGTATTTTTGCTTTAGATTTGGAAGAAAAGGGATATAGTAAGTTGGAATAAACTAGGATTCCTTTAGAATGAAATAGTTCTTTAATTTTGTCTTCCACTTACAGTGATCACCTCACCTGACCTGCACAAACATGGAGAGATATGGGTTGTCCCAAATACCGATCATGTCTGCACACGATTCTTTTTTGTGTAAGTGTAAATGCTCAAGTTTGTATGTTACTGTCTTTACAAATGAGATGTAGTAATGACTGCATTATTATTTGGTCACTTTAGCTGCCAAAATAAAACAAACAGGTCATTGAGTTTAATGTCGACTTAATGTTTTTGTTTATTTTCAATAAGGCATAAACACCAAAGTGATAGTTAAATGCTTTTTAACTTAGAAGAACTGAAGAAAAACAACTGTTAACTTAGAACTAAAGAAAACATTCTCTGTCTCTCTAGCCATCTATCTGTGTGTGTATTAATATGTATGGATATGTATGTTGATGTGGCGGGTTTTTGGCATAACTCATAAGAGCTGCATTAAAATATAAAAGGGTAATTTTTCATTCCTAAGTAATGGGTGCAATAGACTGGTCTGATTTTCACCCCACCCTGGTCTCCCGGTCTTTTTCCATTGCTGTTCTCACCTCACCCATGATCTTGTCACAGAAAGGATTTCAGGGAAGTGTTGAGTATATATGTTTTGTACTTTATTTAGTTTTCTAAAAAGAAGCTGAAAAACTGAACTGGCTTGTTTTATAAGTCATGTCAAAATGACTGCATCAAGATTGCTTCAGTATACTGTATATTCATAGTACCCTATGCATTCAGCATTCGATCTGTTGGCTTATTGACAGACTATTCACAGTGGAACTTATGAGCTGCCTACTTTTCTTTTGGATGGTATGAAAACTGTGACTTTCTTATGATACATATTTATTAGCTATAGAGATCTTTCTTAGCAGTAAGTATAGTGGAAAGAGCCCAGCTTTCGCTCAGACAGTTTGAATCCTGGCTGAACAGTAATTAGTAAGGTGGCATTCGCCAAGTTGCATAACCTCTCTAAGCTTCATCAGTAAAATGAAAATCATATTCCTACCTCTATCAGTTAGAATCCTAACAGGAAACAGATGACTCATGAAAATATGATATTTTTATCATCCACAATTAGATTATTTACAGAGGTGTGGTTATAGGCAAACAGAAGGTCCAGTGTAGTAAACTGGATCTATTAGCACCAGAGCTGTTACACATTCCCAGGTTCAAGAGAACAAAAACTGGAAATAGTCTTGCTGGGAATCCCCACTGGCTAAACCCTACCAGGAACTAGAGGGCAGTGGAGCTTATTGACAACTCCTTCCGGGTCAGCCCCCTGGGGCCAAATGAGGAGGACTGGGAAACTCCTGCAGCTGTCTGCATGCAGTACCTTTTAAGGTTATTATGATTAATTTAATGCCGGTCACTACCGAAGGGCTCATTAAATATTTTTTCCCTCTTCTTTCTTGACTATCTTGATTGTTATACACTGTTAGAATATCGGCCCTCCAAAATGAAACCTCTAGAAAAATCACAAAGTTTTTCATTGAATGACCTTGAGATTTTGACAGAAAAGTAACTCCAGAGTTCTTTGCTTAGCCTGTGATCAAATCAGTTAATCTACTCCTTTTCCATCTTGCTAAAATTCAAATCTGTTGGGCTAAATAAACAACCTTAGATATTTAAGTAGATAGTACTATTTCTTTTTTTTTTTATTTTTTTATTTCAGCATATTATGGGGGTACAAATGTTTAGGTTATGTATATTACCTTTGCCCACCCTACCCCCCGAGTCAGAGCTTCAAGCGTGTCCATCCCCCAGATGGTGTTCATCTCACTCATTACATATGTATATACCCATCCCCTCTAGTATTATTTCTTTATAAAAATTATACATAAAACATATCTATAGGAATATGCGTGGGGGGTGCATGTTTAGTGGAGAAAAGGATATCTTTATTTCTTAAGAAAAAACTGAGGAAAAACCATATGAAGAAAAGAGAAGAAAACACTTTTAGTACATGTACACTCAGATACTTTCCAAATAATACAAAGGAAAAAATGATATTAACATAATAATTTTCATTGCTTTATAAACACAAATGAGGTTTCATCTTTTTTCTCTGTACCCTCAGGAGAGAAGAGACTCATTAAGGAAAACTGATAAAATTCAAAACACATCAAAGGGAGAATCCATTCACTAATTAATGTACATTCTAATTACAACTATCAATTTCTTTCTTTATAAAAGACAAAGATCACAGAGTCCTACTAGCGGTGAGCCCCCCTAGTGAGTGGTGACATCCAGGAAAAGGACAAATTGATGAGAATGAAGATCATTCAAAAACTCAATTTCTGTTTTTGCATTTTAATTTTTAATACATTATGTGATCCCTGATGTTAGAAGTTTTGGCTGATGACTAGGATATATGTTAATATGGTTTCCTTTTTTATCTATTATTAGGTGACTATATTAAAAATTAAAATAACTTCCATGCTAATGTGATTTCCAGAGTCAAGATAATAAAACAGTCATTGAGTACCCTAATCACATTTTTTTCCAACAAGTAAACAACATAGAATGAGAGAAAAATTGGGAGGAAATTTTAGGGAACAGACTGGTCTATCAGAAGAAATTGAAAGTAAAATTTAAAGGAGGATATCACCTAGAAAAAAAAAGAGGAAGAGAATGAGAAGTTTGAAAAAATTTTATTGGGAAATTCCAAAATGAATAAACTTAATTAACTATAAATGCTCCAGGCAAAATGTAATAGTTCAGATGTTATGAACAGATCCCAGCCAATTTCTAATGTGTAGAGATTGTTAGTAAGGGTAGATTACATTACTAACCTTGAAACGTGTACAAGGACATTAAGGCCCATATGTAGAAATAAGAAAGCTGTTTTCAAAATGGCAGAAGATCTGAAAGTAGGAATGCATGAAATGCCCATGTTATAACTGCTTGATGAGTATTTGCCTTACAAAAGCCTGCTGATAATCTTAAAATCAATATGTACAAATTGGAACCCATTATTTAAATTCCTTAACCTACTTGTCAACTTCTCCTATCTATGCAGTAATTTTATGCATCAAAGAGACAGGAAACCCTAGCTGTGGTTTTCAGTCTCACCGTATTCATCAGTCCCCAAGTTTATCTTTTCAGTTTTCTCCCATCAATACCTTTACTTCCATAGATATATCATTCTTTCTCCCGAATACATCAAAATGTTACTTGTTCTCCCTGCCTCTAATTTCTTCATCACTTTCAACTTATTTTGTAAAATGCCAGATTTATTAAACATTACCGTAATTTACACTAGTGATATACCTGTTAAATATTCAGAAATTGAAGATAAACCGAAAAAGGAGAAAATTGCCTGCGTTGTCCCCATTTAGAGTTAACTAGGATTAGTCTTTTGTTGTATAGCCTACCTTTCTTTGCATTTAAAATTCTAAAGTCATACTATTTATACTCTATTAATTTCCCTAAAGCAGTGTTTTGATTATTCCTTGCCTATATAGGCTGATAGTTAATAAATAAATACATGGCATTCTGCAACATACTTCAATTACATGTATAAACCACTAATTAAAGGAAATTATCGTCCAAGCTGTTTCGTGTTTTATCTCCCAGGATTGTGCCTCTGCTCCATCAGTCCAAATGACTGGCCTTCTCACCAGCTGGCCTTTAGCCTGTTTTTCAAGGCTGACTCAAACATGGTCTTTTCCATGGTGCCTTCCCTGACCTCACAGTCAGAAATGATATCTGTCTTTACCTGAATTTTCCTTACCCTATCTTTAGACCTCTGAGGCTGCCTTGTTCTACAGTTATTTCTATAACTATTTCTCTCATAGTAAAGAACAGATCCTGCTTGTGTATGGGAATCTCATGATAACGGCTCGTGAGGAAGTACTTAATACACATTGAAACTGTTAACAAAAGACTGGACGGTCTAACTTAATGAAGATATCGTGCTTGGACTATGAAGTAGACAATATACTTATAGCATCAGTTTCTTATAGGAAATTTGGACAAGTGCTGAATATCATTCAGTCCACAATGGATTTCTCTTCTCTATCGCTGATAAAAAACAGTGTCTAGTGTCTGGGTTCCAGATAAAAAAAGACAGAAACAAATTTACGGGTGCCAATCTTAAAACTCTCACAAAAGATGCTATATCAGTTTGAGAATAAATGTAGTCAATATGTTCAAAAGTTTTTATCCATGAAATTTCCTGAAGTACTTAAGGGATTTCCAGACAGCTAATTTCCACTTATTATCTTATTTTCTCTTTAATATTTTTAAGCAAATTGGTTTATCTTTCATTAAAATCTTAGTAATCTTTTTTTTTATTTCAGTATATTACGGGGGTACAAATGTTTAGGTTACGCTTATTGTCTTTGCCCCATCTGAGTCAGAGCTCCAAGTGTGTCCATCTTTTTATACTTCTGGGAATATGAGTAATTTTTGTCTCCTTTTAGATGTTTTCATTTTCCATTCTATTAAAAAACCCAGTCACATGTATCATCTTCTTACTAATATGAATGCTCTATTTCTTTTTTTAATTTTGTTGCTTTCTGGACATAAATAAACTTTACTGTTACATTAGCAACCCAGTGTTTGCAATATGAATAAATAGTTGTGAAGTATTCTGTATATCTTATTGTGTTAATAATAAATATCCTAATGTGACCAGCAACTCACACATCTAAGACTTGCCAGTTTCCCAAATTAAATGGTAGTTTGTCTTTTCTTTACTATTAAATATACTTCATAGTTTAAAGCCACCTGAATGCCTTTGGCCCGTTTTGTCCTTCAACTCACACCGGCTTCCCTGTGGGTTTCACACACACTGGAAAAATGTGCATTTTCTTTAATACTTTAAATCTCTTTCTAGTCCTCATTCTTGCTTTTGCTCTCACTTTTGTTCTACTCTCTCTTTCCTCCCCTGTGTTTTTTCTATTTTAAGGTATTATAGTTTGTTCAAATAATGTGAGTCTTGTCTCTTCTCCATTAACTTCTAGTGCTTTTTAAATGTGATATCTGTGGGAAAGTTATAGTTAGGTAAAGAGATAAGGATTGAAGATAGAGTTTTAGGAATCAGCATGTTGGCGATAGTTAAAACTTGGAAGAGACCGAAGTAATTGACTTCACGTGAGAAGAGAGAAAACTGAGGAGTGAATCATGTATAAAATCATCATTGAAATGATAGGCCAAAGATGAGAATGCAGTGAAAGAGATTGAGAATCTTAGTAACAGGGCACTTACTGCTTGACCTCCTGAGAAAATATTTGTGATTGGGCTGCGTACCATGTATCTCATTCTTTTTCTTAGGATAATGTTTCACCATGGGGTGTCATTTGCATTAAATTGAAATTTTCTAAGTATATCTAAAAGAGCATACTTGTGTAAGAATTAACCGAATTGACAGACAGCCGTGGATCATTTAGTTAAGAGTTTAGACTTGGTATAAATGCAATTATTACTTGGTGTTTAAGCATGGATTATGTAAGGAGTTAAGTTCTCATTGCTATGTCTCATCTGTTTCATTTTCCTATAGTGCACTATTTCAGGAAAAGATAGTGGCTAGTATTAATCTTTGAGACACTGTACTGACACCCCTGGTTTTCTGTTTTCAAGTAATTACCACTTCTCTTAGGCTTCTGTCTTTAAGCCATTTTTATGAAGTAAAATTAATTCATCACCTGTTCCCCTCTGAATATGATCATGAAAGTTTGAAAATTCATTCTTGGGAAATTCTTATTGCCCAAGTAAGTTCATTCGAGGATGTGAATTATCATCTAAAATGTAATTATTTCTTTCCAAAGAGCTTAGTAATTGCTGTCCTTTCATACTATATTTTCACTTCTACTGCTAAGCTAAACTTAGCAGTCTTGCATTCTTATGTGACGTACCAACATAAATAAGAATATGTTACAGTCAGACTAAATAGAGCAACCAGTGATAAGAAAAAAGTGCAGCACTGATTAGAGCTGAATAATCATTAGAAGGCAGGCATGGCAAAGAAGCCGTGTTAGACAGTGAAGCGAGTGCCAACAATCAGAAAATAAATAAATGATTGAAGTAAGAGTTACGAAGTCCAGAACCCAAGGAACGTGAAGTTGAAGCTGTTATATTCTGTCGCATTAGGCTTCATGGCAACTGCTGTGGGAAATGCTTGCAAGGTCAAAGACATGTGGGTGCTTCCTGCAAGTCAGGCAGTGCTTTATGTGGGGTACACAAATTAAAATGGAAAGGAGGGGCAAATTAAGGCATGATGTAGTGTAACGGGCTATTCTTTGTTTAGTAATGACAGCACATTATTAAATACAACTGAAAAATAACTATATCCTTTGCTTTGGATTCCCTCGGGCTGCATTTTAGGTATCCAATGGCATTTCTAAGCTGTTTTAAATGCTGCCATCTTGTTAAATGTTTTTATGTTTTTGTGTTTTGTATTTTAGCTATGAAGATGGCCAAGTGGGAGATGCAAATATTAATACACAAGAAGGAGGCATTCACAAAGAGATCCTCCGAGTAATTGGTAATCAAACTGCTACTGGTTAAAGGACCACCATTTAATTAACGTGATTTGAAAGCCTTCCTCGGGTTCAAAGCTGGATTTTGAACTGAAGAAGATGATAAAATAACTTATTGTTATTATCAACAAATTTAACCCTTTGAATACTGATTTTTTTTCTTAGTATTTCTAAGTATCTCATTAAATACCTAAAATGGTATAAAATTTATCAATTGTAGGGTTATGGAATCTAGTAATAAAATTAAAACAGCACTTAAACTGCAGTTTGGGTTGCTCATACAATAAACAGATTGAAAAAACAGTTTTGTGCTGATATTTTTATATTAAACTCTTTAATTGGACATTTGGTACTATATGCCGACATTTTAGGTTACTGAAATATAATTGAGAACATTTTATAATGGCATCTAAATCTATCAGATACTTTGCAATAAGTATAATGTTTGCATATTCTGATGCGCTATATAATTAGTGGTATGAACCTTTGAATATCTTGGGAGGTATGTTCCCTGGTCTCTTATTTTTCTTTATACAAAAACAGTTAGGTCTTAGAAGCAGTGCTTTGCCCAAAAGTATGTAATATACATATCTATAGATTCATGCATCAAAATGTGTGCTTGTGAATATACTTGTATATATTCACATGTATGTATTTTGACAACAGAGATGGCTTAGCATCACAACTCTATCCTCATTCAATGAAAGAAGATAATAAAGTAAGCAGTAAATTTGAACTTAAAGCAAGATGTGAGCCAAATTTACCACCATTCATTCATGGATAATGTTTGCAGACAATTTTTCTGTTTGTCTAAAGAAATTCAACTCTTTTAAAATGCTATCTAAAAGTCATAATTTGGGGAACATAGATGCCCCTGGTAGACTGAATCTGTGTTCAAATGATCATATATTTCAAAGAAGGGCCTCAGAACTTAAAGAAACAGTATATATTTTTTATTTACTACAATGGAACATTTTAAAAATTTATTTATACCACACCAGCATTTTTATATTTGTTCATCTAGTACCTCTGCTTATTTTTTTTTCATATTGAGAAAGAACATAAACTTTGAAGCTTCTTTTATATTAAAAGAATACAAATAAGTTTCTAGAGAACAATAACACCAGCTCTCAGCATTTTCTTTTCAAGAGTCATATGCTCATCAAAATCATTTCTATTTCTCTGAGTCCTAGAGTTCTTATTCATTTCAAGTTTTAATTGACAGTGTTTATTTTCCCACACGATGTCTTTGGAATAAGGCCATTCATGAAAGCAGTTTAATTAGTGAGTCTGCCACTCTATTCAGACCCTGAATCAAGGCTCGTATCTGATTTTAATTTATGTAGAAAAAAATAAAAATGTATAGTCATTTGCAAGTATAATGTGATAATTTCTGTGTTTATTTCCTTTGTCTGGCATAAAAGGTCAGAAAAAAGGTCATACACATTGTTAAGGGTTGCAGTTTAGAAAGTATTTACTGATCATTTGTTTTGGTAGTTTGTACATAATTGATGTGCCACTTATTTCTGCAAAAATAGGCTTGAAGTGGTTGAGATATTAATCATTTTGATAGTATCTACTTAATACGTTGGTCTGTTTTGACTTGTGCCTCTGAACTCAGGGCTAGACTGAGGAATATGTTATCATGTTAGGGCCAAGATATAATACCCTATTTAGTGTTTTGTGACTTGGTGTGGAACGAGAGGACCACTTGCTTCTTTCTGCCAAGACACCCCAGGTCTGCCAAATCCCTTTAACTATATTTTTAAAAAATTTTTAAGTAACAAATTACTTTTTTCAATTTAATTTTGTGGGGCATTGTATATGTGACATAAACGTGAAGACCTAATGCCAGGATTTGTGACTAGGGATCTTGGAACCCCACCTGTTTGGCCACTAGGACCACTGAGGCACCTCCAAAAAAACTCTGCAGAATGCCCCAAGCATAATTTTAAAGCCACTGACCCTGATCCATTATGGCTTTACTTAACAGCTGAGTGATCTGTAAGGAATATTTAGAATCTGAACTGGAAGGATAATTTGTAGGACTCAAGGCAGATTGATTAGGGGAAGAGAAACTGGCATAATTATAACTTCTACTGCCAACTTAAGAATAACAGCAGATTCACCTATCTAAAGAAGGAGAGTAGTTGATAACTCAATACCTACTAAATATTACAAAGCAATAGGCATCTTTTATGATAATAAAATGTCTTCTGATGACAATTAATTGACTTGTTTTACAATGCTGAATGACAGATTTTGTTTCCAAAAATTGTATCAGAACCTTTGTAAGCAAATATTCTAAGGAAAGTCAATCTTTTAATTGAACTTTCTGAAATTAGGGATACTATAATATACTGATGAAGATGCTTATCTGTATTTCTAAAGAATATAATTTCAATTAATACCATTAGTAAATGAATATCATGATTCCAAAAATCTAAGCTGGTCCTTATAATTCAGAAATTTAAACACTGTTATCTTGCTTTGATTCAGTCACCCATTAAAATATTATCTTTTGACTTTTTTTGATGGTTCTAAGCATTTGATATTGCATTGTGTTTTTATAATCATTTGAAATCTGTTCACTGATACTTTGTCATAGTTTTATTAATTATATGGTCATTACTAGTAGATATTAACCCACTGAGCAAAGGCAATCATTTATTTTCATTCTTGAAGTAGGGAAAATGATACCTTAATTTATTAGTTCTGCTTTTTCTTGCATTACTGATTTTGTAAACATTTCACTATGAATAATTTGTCCTCTTTCACTGTATAAAAAAGAGAAGAAAATGAGTGAACATTTAATAAATGAAAAAAGTAATACACAAATAATCTAGTGCTGTAGAATGCATTATGGTAAGGCGCTTTGAGTGCACTATGTTGGAATGAATTTTATGTTTGTTGCTCAGTAAATCTCAGTCATATGTTGAATTTGAGGATGGTTTTTCAATTTAAAATTTAATTTTGAGTGTCACATTTTTAAAGTTACTATCAAATACTATGTAGTATAAGAAACCATCCCAAACTACTCTTAATGCTTTTATAAATGTTTCCCATTGAAAAATCTGAGTTTAGAAAAGAAATTCCTCAATTTTTCTCCCCTTTGCTAAAAGAAAGAAAATCTGTAATATGCAAGTCTACGAATCATTAAATAACTGAAAGAATTTTAGCAGTACTTTATATAATAACAATATTGGAAAAACTATAACTTGCCTTAGGGCATGGGGTTTCAGAAAGTTTTAAGGAAAAACTCATCCTCCTTGTTAACGAGTCTGGATGACTTCATCAGATAGTAACTTAATATGCCATAAAATGCCACTCAACCTTGGACCATCTAAATAAATACGGATTTCATCGTGGCATTTGAAGCACATTTTAAAAACATTACAATGTCTATTGTCCTGTTGAATTCTTCATTGTAACACTACCTCAAGACAAATGATAGACTGTTTGTTAAGGTAAATTGGGTTTCTAGTGTAAGGAAAAAATAAAATTTTACAAGCAGAAGTCATCAAATAATTCAACAATTAAGATCATGGTGGACATAGATATTGTCAGTTACTTTTGGACAATGCAGTAACATGGATATTTCAGTCACTGGTGATGAATGACATAGTTAACACCCAATGAGTTACTTGAAAGGATTTCAAGTTACAAAATTTGAAATTAATTAGTTTATTTTGATATCGGTTTTCTACATGGGCCAATTTTATGTCCATTCACTTAAAGCCACAATCGACCACTCTAGAGAGTTAAACAATTAAAATACCCAACTGCTATGCCAAAATGGCAGACTGAATATTCAAGTACTTTGGCATTTAATGCCTGCTAAATTTTTTTCAGATTATATATAGATTTGACGTATATTATTACCTAGTAAATTTTTCTTGGGAATTTTGTATACACTATGAAATACTAGGATAAGTTTTTGTAGGTCAAAAGAATTTCAAGTAGTTTTTAGACAAAACATATCCATGAGTGTGAAAAAGCTGTGTTGAAGAATAGATTACATTACACATTTACCAGCAAGTCAGTAAAAAATAGTGCTTATTTACATAGTCAATATAATTTAATGTTCTAAAAATAATTTCTTCAATCTGCCCAATATTTAATGTATCATTTGAGATTTTAAAAAATGCAGCCACTCCTTTATGTAAACATTAAGATATACCTATGTTTCTTTAACTATACAGCCTTCTTTACAATAAATTTCCTGATTTCTGTGCACAGAATAGTATTGCAACCTGCTATTTAGCCTTTGGTGCCTTAGAGTTATTATAAATATTTAACAATATGTACATAATGTAAATATTGCCAAGAGATCACTGAGGCCAAATATTTTCTCTATTCACTTTTTATTGCACTTGCTTTCTATTGCTACTTAAGCCTCTTATATCCAGCTTTGTAATAGTTCTAACATTGTAGCCAATGTAAATGTTTACTTTCAATAAATCTGAATTTGTTCAACAAGTACCGTATATGTGGGCACTATTTTGAAAACTCGGTTAGGCCTTAGATTCTTCTGTTGATGAATCTTGCTTCTGGGGACTATGTATTTTAAGGTCTCAACAAACTCTAAAAATGGTGTATCCCCTTTTATTTTTAGAATACTTTTAAAATAAGTGTAATAAAGAAAAAACCCTTGCTGTATTCCCCATATATTTGCAATAGATTGAATTGGTCGTGGGAATGCCATTTTAATTTCAAATTCTGTCAAGAAGCATAGGCTTGAAAGAAGAAATTCTTGTATATTTTGTATGTATGCTCTATTTATAACATCCGGGTATAATCACAAAAGGAGCATTTCAAATGAACAGTCATGAATTTTCTAAGAATTTCTGATCTGATTAGTAATTGAAAAATGATTTTTAAGGAACCACTTTTTATAAAATGCATCTCATTAACTGAGGAAAACCTTGGTTTATAAATAAATATGGTTCTCTAAACATATTAATAGTAAATATTTATGAAGAGCTAAGTTTACATTCTCATAATAAATGATTTTTTACTCGTGATACATTTATAGCTGAGAAACTTTATTTTATTTCATTTATTTATTTTTCTTGAGACAGAATGTCTATTTTTCACTCAGTAAAAACTACTCACAAGCCTCTTACTCATGACCCTTCATGATCTGGCCCCTGCCTCCCT